ATTAAGGACACCTAAACCTCTAACCTCATACTTAATCTTATTCATGGTCTCAATGGCAAGTTGACTTGATCCTCTTAAACCCAAAGCTTCAAGAGTTCTCTTCCCAAACACCTGTAGGTCCTGACCCTCTCTCTCAAACTAAAAAATAAGAAAATAAGACTCCAATATTAAAGTCAAAGGTTCTGTGCCTCCCATTTAACAGAAACGCAAGTCTTCAACCACCAATATAAATTTCTGTGTAAACCAACTCAGAGAGTTTATAACCTTGAGGCTCACAGTAAAAACCGAGAGAATTTCTAAACATTGTTTCAAGCTGATAGAGTATTGAGTTGTCACAAAAACCTAATTAAAAATTCTGACATAATACACAGATGTCTCTAAATTTTTTTGTTATCAACAAACCAGTAAAGACCTAAAAGCAATACTCATGTTTTCCTTCAAAACACACTGACTTCAATGGAGTAATTTACTTTTTTCACTACAAATGTTGAAATGAGATATTAACACATATGGCTGGCTGGTCTTTATTAAGAAATTTAAAGTTAAGAATTTAAAATAAATCTGAAATAGCAGTGTTTTTAATAAGTATTTGCTGAAAATTAGTATTTGTCTCAAAAACACAAGTTTTATTTACCTAAATACAGGTTTAGTTACCAGCAAGTTAACTTTCTAGCTCTAAGTATATATTGAGATAACTTTATTTTTACGTAAGTGACATCTTGTGGTATTAAGTGGTATAACATTTCTGTATGTTCAAAATATTTGCCCATTTACTGTTTTCATGGGCAAGATAAAATAGATTACTGAATGTTTAATGAAAATATTAGTATCTAAAAGGAAACCTGATGGTGCAGAGTATTACGTGTTTTACTCCTAATCAAAAGGCCAGGCTTTCTAATCCATCAGCCTTTTAATGGGGAAAAGATAGGCAGTCTCCTCCCATAAGGATCTACAGCTTTGCAAACATGGTTAAGTGTCACAATGAGTTACAATGGATTCAACATCAACAGGTTTGGATTGAATTGCTATTATCACCAAAAAAAATCATTCTCATTTCTGCATTAGAATAAGGAAATAACTATAATTAAAAGCAAACCTATACCAGTGCATATAAGAACTTAGATGTTAGTACCTCTATGTACTATAAATTCTTTTTTAAAAAATCTACAATCATAATTCTATTAAAACGTCATTCAAAGACTATGTAAACAAGGGAAATAACTCTAATCACAAACTTAAAACTAATTTTTAAAAAATTTTAATTCATTTTAAAACTTAAAATGCACTGTATCCATAATACTCAAAATACTGTTCACGCAAGCCTAGCCAAAGAACTCACTGTTGCTGTTGTTTGTTGTTATATGCTGTCGAGTCACCTGTGACCCTATGTACAGCAGCTCTGAACCATGCCCTGTTCTGAGCCAGTCTCATTAATTCTGACACACCAACCCCCATTGTCCTAGTCATTGTTATCAATCCATCTCATCTTGGGTCTTCCTCTCCGGTGCTGTCCCTCCACTCTTCCAAGTATGATGTCCTTTTCCAAGGACCGATCTCTCCTGGCCATGTGTCCAAAGTATGTGAGATGGAGCTTCAAAATCCTAGACAAGGAAAGATCTGGTTTCACCCTTTCCAAGACAGACCTATTTGTTTTCTTGGAAGTCCATGGTATGTTCAAGACCCTTCTCCAGCACCAATTCAAAAGCATCAAGTCTTCTGTCATCTTTAGTCACTGTCCAGCTCTCTGATGAATATCAAGTAACTGTGACGATCACAGTCTGGATTAGGCACACCTTAGTCTCTAGACTGACATGATTGCTTTTCAGTACTCTGGAGAAGTCCCTGATGGCAGATTTTTCCCAATGCAATCTGTCTTTTGATTTTGTGACAGCTGGTGTTGATTGTGGAGCTGATCAAGCTGTGATTGTTAACAACTTCAATCTCTTCTCCATCTAGCAACACAAATTTTTGCTGCTCATCCATTGAGAAGATAAATACAAAAAGTGAAAGAAAGGACCTTCAGAAACTCACCTTACAAGAGCTCCAGCTTCTCTCCACTTTAAAGCTTAACTGTAAAGATCTCTGCCTACCTCTTTAACCTCTCAGCTGTTGTTTTTCCTGGAAGGAGCTGAACACCAATTATGTTTTTCTCTGCTAGTTCCCATCTCTGATTTTGTTCTTCAAGTTCCTGTCACTCTGAACTTCACTCAACATCTCTCTCTTCAGTTTAGTAAAACAATCACTTTCTCCTTGGGCTCCCTTTTTTCACATATTTGAAAAATACACTCAGGAGGAAAACTTGGTTTCTTGGTAGACAACAAGAAATATGTTCTACTTGAGCTCAGGAGTAAGAAATACTTTCCAGAATGAAACTAAACAGTTAACATGTCGCCACAAATGACAGCAAATGTGTTTCTAAGCACCATCATCAATTTTAAAAGTATGCAGCAACTGTTAAATCAGTTTTCTTTGTTCCTCCCACACCACTCCCCAGAGAAGGATACAACAGCAGTCGTGTACCACTCAGTATAAATTCTAATTCTATGAGAATGTAGAATCACTCCCTGAGATTTCCTCAGCTGTAACCTTCAGAGAGATACTCAAGTCTTTTATGCCATAAAGCCAATGGGTGGGTTCCAAGAGACAACCTTTGGCTTAGAAGGCAAGTGCTTACCCACTGTATAATCAGAGAGCTGTTATGAATGTAACTCAAAACCAATCCTATTGTCAGCCAGTCTTTCTCATCATAAAGTTTCACAGTCAATCTACAAAGAACCTGAGATAGTTGTATTTACAAATACTGACGTGAAAAGTGTTGGACCAGGTACAAAGTTCTTTTTCACAGATTAAGAGTACTATAAACCAAAATGCTACAGAGGAATGTGGCATGGTGATTGGAAGTACACTCATCAACAAACTGTATTATGCAACTGATACAACTTCACTCACTGAAAGTGAAGAAGACTTGAAATGCAGATGATCTAGATCTACAGCCTTCGAAATACATTACCATCACAACATCAAGAAAACACAGGTTTTCATTCCTGACCCAAAGTACCATTATAGATGGACAAAGACTAAAGTTGTCAATGACTACATCTTGGACCCACAAGCAAGACCCTTGGTACCAGCAGTCAGAAGGTCAGGAGACACATTACATTGGGCAAGTTCGCTGTCGAGGACCTTTCCAAAATACTTAAGAGAAATGATGGCAGAATGAAGACTAATATGTGCCTGATTCCAATCATGGTCTTTTCAGTCACTTGCTATGCCTCTGAGAGCTGGACAATGACTAAGGATGACGGGAATTATTGATGCATTTCAACTGTGGTGCTGGAAGAGTACTACATATCCCATGGACTGTCAAAAGAACAAACAGATTATTTCTTGGAAAAAGTGCAGCCAGAGTGTTCTTGGAAGAAAGGATGGCAAAACTTTGTTTCTCATGCCCTGGACATGTTGCTAGGAGAGGTCATTCCCTGGAAAGAAGTATTATGCTTTGAAAAATGGAGGGCCAGTATAATAAAGGAAGACTCTCAATGAGACAGACTGATACAGTGACTTTAGCATTTGTCTCAATTATTTCAGAGACAGATTAGGACAAGATTCAGGTCTGTTTTCATAACTATTAGCCACACCTGACTCAATGACACCAAACAACAACTTAGAAAAGATTTAAAAGGTCAAGAAGTTTGGAAGGCAATTTAATAAAACCAACTAACTGTAAAGTGTAAAATTTTCAAACTTCTATGTTTTTGTTGTATACTGCTTGAGTCAGACCCAACTTACAACTGAACCTCTAGGAGATTTTCAGAGGCATTAAATCACACATGAGACTGTGGATTCTAACTGCATGCCTTCAAGTTGGCAGTACAGCTCATTGCCACTAGCCACCCGAGCACAATAGAAAATATCATAAATGAAGACAAAAACCAAAATAAACTTACCTTGGGATCCATATGACTAAAATACTAATACAGCCTTAAAAAAGTACAAACACCCCTTAACTAATCAGTAAGCACTGATACAATACATAAACAGCAAAGGGGCATAATAAGTACTTCACTGAAAGAATAAACCAATAACTATAAAAACCTAAAACACTACTGTCAAATGATGTCCAACTCGTATCAACCTTTCATTCAGATTTCTAAAACTGTAAATCTCTGCAGAAGACTGTTCATTTTTCTCCTGCAGAGTCACTGTTAGACCTGAACCACTAATCTCTGGATTAGTAGCTGAACACATAATGCACTACAGAGAATGATCCTAAAGGGAAAAGTTAATTGCACTCAAAAGAGCTATTTCTAAGGATTCAGTGTAGTAACATTTTTCACTTATTACTAACTCAAAGCCATCCAGTTGAAACTGACTCACACCTGATTATTCATTTGATTCCGGGGCCATAAATCACAAGAAAGGAAAATTGTCCATCTTTCTATCAAGGAGGTACTGGGAGATTTCAACTGCCAGAAGCTCTGCTGCTAAGTTAAGAGTACAACTCCATACAGAGTAGGCCACCAGAGCACACTATTTTCACCTTGTTGTTACGTGCAATCGAGTCACTTGCGACTCATAGCGACCCTATGTACAAAAGTCTTAAACACCGTTCTATCCTGTGCCAACCTAGCCATCTCAAACACACTCATTCCCACCACTCCACTCACAGAATCAATCCATCTCATCGAGGGTCTTCCTCTCCCGCACCATCCCTCCACTCTCCCAAACATGATGTCTCTCTCCAAGGACTAGTCCCTCCTTGCAACATGCCCAAAGTATGTCAGACGAAGCTTCAGAATCCTTCACTCTAAGGAGCATTCCGGCTTCACCCTCTCCAGGACAAACCTGTTTGTTCTCCTAGCAATCCACAGTATATTCAACACTCTTCTCCAGCACCACAGCTCAAAGGCATCAATACTCTTTTTATCATCCCTATTCACTGTCCAACTCTCTGATGCATAGCATGTAATTGCAAAGACTATAGCCTGGATCAGGCGCACCTTAGTCTCCAGCCTGACACTGTTGCTCTTCAGTACTCTTGAGAGGTCCCTCACAGCTGATTTTCCCAATGCAATTCGTCTCCTGATTTCTGGCTGCTGTTACCAAGAGTATTGACTGTGGAACCTTAAGACTGGCAAATATTATACAATTTTATAGTACTCAGTATCAGCAAAAGTATGAAGAAAAGAGATCATTTTTTGAAGCATAAACAGGGTAACTTTTCTAATTTAGTAACATATACTCAAAAATCTCATTCTAAAATGCATTGGGATTTGGCTTATAATTGTAACTCTAGAAATATTTCCTACAACTAGACAATTACATATAAAATATGTAAAAAATTATGTAGCAATATCATTTATATTCAACAAAAAGGAGTATCAGTAAATGATATTCAGTAAGAGGACTAATTAAACAACTAGAATACAAGTATTATGGACTGACAGTTTAAGATACAAATACTGAAACACTTCTAAGGTTTAGTAAATGAAAAGATAGGTGATAGATGATAGATAGATAGATAGATAGATAGATAGATAGATAGATCACATAATAATTTTACTAATTTTTCCCCTTGAAAGATGCAGAAGAACTTTCCTCTGGAGTATAAAAATAGGAGACAAACCTTTTCTACAATACAAACTATTCTACTTCTAAATGCCTAGTATTTATTAACATAAATAATTTACTTAGGCAGCACTGTTAAACATGAACAGTCATTATTATTCCAGTTTAAGGGATAAAGGCATTCAGGTTCAGAGAGTATAAGGACTATCTATAAGTAGAAGATGTACAGTTTCAGATCACACAATTTTTAAGTTATTATCCTACAACTCTGGGAGGATATCAAGAAAATTATCCATGAAGAATGCAAAAGATCATTACAAAGGCTGAAGAAAAAGAAAAGACCAAGACGAGACTCTGAATATTGCATTAGAGCGCTGAAAAGCCAAAGCTAAAGGAAGAAACTAAGAAATCAAAGAGCTGAACAGAAAATTTCAAAAGGCAGCTAGAGATGACAAAGTAAGATACTATAATGAAATGTGCAGAGAGCTGGAGTCAGAAAATCAAAAGGGCCAAATTCGCTCAGCGTTTCTTAAGCTAAAGTAGTTGAAAAACAAATACAAGCCACAAGTGGAAATACTTAAGGACACTTTGGGTTGTTGTTGTTGTTATGTGCCATCGAGTTGCTTGCGACTCGTAGCGACCCTATGTACAACAGCCCTAAACCCTACTCTATCCTGTGCCAATTGCACTGCCTCTAACACACCCATCCCTATTACCCCAGTCATTGAATCAATCCACCTCATAGAGGGTTTTCCCTTCTTGCGACGTCCCTCCACCCTCCCAAGCATTATGTCCCTCTCCAAGGACCAGTCCCTCCTTACAACATGTCCAAAGTATGTCAGACAAAGCCCCAGAATCCTTGCCTCCAAGGAGC